TGTAACGCAATGGCGTCACGCTGCAAGTCATTGACGCCATGCTGCAGTTCAAAGACATGGATGCAACAAACTGACGTTATGCCACGACGGAATGGCGTCACGCTGCAATGCAATGACGTCACGCTGCAATGCAATGACGTCATGGTGCAACGTATTGACGCCATGCTGCGACGCAATGACGTCATGCTGCAAACGCAAATGACGCCATGCCGGAACGCATTGACGTCATGCTGCGAACGCAATGATGTCATGCTGCAAACGCAAATGACGTCATTCTGCAGCGCGATGACGCAATACAAAAGCCAGGTTCCTCAGACAATGGCGATCACTCGGGGTGGCGGTGGTGTCCGTGAGCGGGAATCGAACTCGGGTAGCCGGGTTCTGAAGTGCGGTGTCACCAAGACACACACACACACATATATATAAAAACCTACATCATATATATAGAAACCTGCATTATATTTAGATGCGACACTGAGTAATAAAGGATGCAGAGGGACGTGTGTATTCGTGTAGCCCGTTAGGCTTGCTCAGCCGTGTATTTTCCACTGCACAACCGAGCCGTGCCGAACCGTGCCAGCTCGGCACACTCCTGGTTTTTTTTTTTATCCCCATCGCATAACTCCGAGCCGTGCCGCTGGGCCCTGCTTGGCCCCCAGCACGGATTCGAACGTCTTGAGAGGGCCAGCGTAGCACGGTTTGGTTCCGGCTCGGATGTGCCAGTGGAAACAAGGGGTAAAAGTGGACAGAACAGCCTGCGTAGTTATTTCATAAAGAGGTGCGGTGGTAAGTGAGACTGTCAACCCCTTATCAGTGCCCTACCTTATTACTACAGACCAATTCAGACTGTATCGGTCAACCCCGTGCCCCTTATGATCGCCACGTTCATCCTACAATGGCCCGTCACAAGGGAGAAACGCAAACAAATAGACACATTTTGTAAATTTCCCTGTACAAGAAGAATACGGGGTAAACCGCAGGGGGTGACAGCTTTGCTGAAATTCAGGTTTCAGTCGCTACCAGTGGTTAAACCGGAATTCTCAAGTGCAGTGAGTTGATGATGGTCTTAGCCTGGTCACCACTGACTCACACAGAAACTCATAGACTCGCATAGAGACCCACAAACTCACAAAGAGACCCATAGACTTACATGGAATCCTCTTGTGATGAAATGTGGTTCTTAAGTGCAGTCAGTTGATGATGGTCTTAGCCTGGTCACCACTGACTCACACAGAGACTCATAGACTCGCATAGAGACCCACAAACTCACAAAGAGACCCATAGACTTACATGGAATCCTCTTGTGATGAAATGTGGTTCTTAAGTGCAGTCAGTTGATGGTCTTAGCACGGTCACCACTGACTCACACAGAGGCTCATAGACTCGCATAGAGACCCACAAACTCACACAGAGACCCATAGACTTACATGGAATCCTCTTGTGATTAAATCTGGTTGCCAAGTGCAGTCAGTTGATGATGGTCTTAGCCTGGTCACCAATAACTCACACAGAGACTCGTAGACTCGCATAGAGACCCACAAACTCACAAAGAGACCCATATACTTACATGGAATCCTGTTGGGATGAAATCTGGTTCTCAAGTGCAATGAGTTGATGGTCTTAGCCTGGTCACCACTGACTCACACAGAGACTCATAGACTCGCATAGACACCCACAAACTCACAAAGAGACCCATAGACTTACATGGAATCCTCTTGTGATGAAATCTGGTTCTCAAGTGCAGTCAGTTGATGGTATTAGCACGGTCACCACTGACTCACACGGAGACTCATCAACTCGCATAGAGACCCACAAACTCACTAAGAGACCCACAGACTTACATGGAATCCTCTTGTGATGAAATCTGGTTCTTAAGTGCAGTCAGTTGATGATGGTCTTAGCCTGGTCACCACTGACTCACACAGAGACTCATAGAGACCCACAAACTCACAAAGAGACCCATAGACTTACATGGAATCCTCTTGTGATGAAATCTGGTTCTCAAGTGCAGTCAGTTGATGGTATTAGCACGGTCACCACTGACTCACACGGAGACTCATCAACTCGCATAGAGACCCACAAACTCACTAAGAGACCCACAGACTTACATGGAATCCTCTTGTGATGAAATCTGGTTCTTAAGTGCAGTCAGTTGATGATGGTCTTAGCCTGGTCACCACTGACTCACACAGAGACTCATAGAGACCCACAAACTCACAAAGAGACCCATAGACTTACATGGAATCCTCTTGTGATGAAATGTGGTTCTTAAGTGCAGTCAGTTGATGGTCTTAGCACGGTCACCACTGACTCACACAGAGGCTCATAGACTCGCATAGAGACCCACAAACTCACACAGAGACCCATAGACTTACATGGAATCCTCTTGTGATTAAATCTGGTTCCCAAGTGCAGTCAGTTGATGATGGTCTTAGCCTGGTCACCAATAACTCACACAGAGACTCGTAGACTCGCATAGAGACCCACAAACTCACAAAGAGACCCATATACTTACATGGAATCCTGTTGGGATGAAATCTGGTTCTCAAGTGCAATGAGTTGATGGTCTTAGCCCGGTCACCACTGACTCACACAGAGACTCATAGACTCGCATAGACACCCACAAACTCACAAAGAGACCCATAGACTTACATGGAATCCTCTTGTGATGAAATCTGGTTCTCTTGTGCAGTCAGTTGATGGTATTAGCACGGTCACCACTGACTCACACAGAGACTCATCAACTCGCATAGACACCCACAAACTCACTAAGAGACCCACAGACTTACATGGAATCCTCTTGTGATTAAATCTGGTTCTTAAGTGCAGTCAGTTGATGGTCTTAGCCCGGTCACCATTGACTGCACGTTCAATTTGCTTCTGAGATTTGAAGTGATCCGTTTGATCGTCATGCTGACCATGATTCGCCCGCTGTGGCCGGGCGGGTGGGACAATGATGCCTTCTGCTGTGCGCAGCCCGAAGGCGTTCCACATGCACATTGTTACATAACGATAATTATATCATGATTTATTCTAGATTTGAAGTTTTCGTGACTGCAATGATCCATATTTTTTGGTTCTTTCGGTAAAGTCACGTAGGTGAAAATGATAATAAAATAAAAATATAAAAGTGAAAACTAAATTAAATCACGACGTTTCGGGCGCAACACAAGCATCCTTGATCAGGTGGGGACCACCACAGCGAAAACAGTCGCTGAGGTATGCAAGTGTTGTGGTTAATGCAGACATGAATCCTTGTAAAAAGGTTTCAGTTTTGTTGCCAGAAAAAAGGGGAAAACCCTATTACAGTAATCCCTCTCCACTTCGCGGTTCAAGTTTCGCGGCCTCAGTGCATCGCGGATTTTTCGAACTGATTTAAAGGCCTCGTTATACCTGTGCAGTAACACCATCATCATCATTCATCATCACATTCATCGAACTGCACAGGTCTGTCATCGTCGTCATTGTCATCGTCGCCGTCGTCATTACTGGAGTCAAGTCTCAAGATACAACTGTCATTGGTGAGTGTAGAACACCATAATACGTATCTCGTATGAGAGAGAGAGTGAATGTATTATATTAAGGTTTTATAATTAAATAGATTTAAGTAAAATATATATATAAAGTATAAATATACATATTTTAAACATTCTGGTACCCACACACACATAGACGGAAATTCCTAGGGGGCCAATCCTACTTCGGGATTTTCACCTATCGGGAGGGGTTCCGGTCCCCATTAACCGCGATAAACGAGGGATCACTGTATTATATTTTGGTACTGGCAAAGGAGGTCTAATGAAAATAAAATTAGTTTATAGTTTAGTTAGAAGTTCCGTGACGAGCGACGGTTCGTGCCGGGAGCCACCCGCGCACACCGGAACCAAGACGACCGAACGGGAACCGGGAACGCGACGCGGTGCTTTTTTAAGAGATCGCCAAAAAAAAGTTTTTTTAACTTTTAATCGACGTCGTTATATATTCCATCTTTTATTTTACAGGACAAATCAGTTTCCGGCGGGGCAAATGGACGAACGCGGCCGCGAGACGCGACATCCGTAAACGAACGGCGATTCCACGCACCTCCCAGGCGAGGCGGGGGGTGGAGGGACGAGCTCTCCGTGCGCTCGTCCACACTTACGCTCGGCACGTTTCATAACTTACCTTGACCGTTATTTACAACAACAAAAAACCGCGTCGCCGTTTCAAAAAACATTTCGGGCCGGTTCCGCCGTTGCCGCCGCCGCCGCCACGCGCCATCGTCATCCGCCGCCAGTAAAAACGTGGGTCGACCGCCACGCCTCTCTCGCGTTCCGATCGAGAAATACTAAAAGGTGGTGCTGGCGGCGACTCCGAAGTCGTCACCGCGTAGTGCAAAGCGTGTCTTTAGAAAATGGGGGGCGGGGAACGGCATCGGGCCCCGACCTCCGGACCGGACGCGCCGAATCTCGTCTTGCAGACCGCGGGGAGGAGAGCCTCGTGGTCCGTGCAATGAAACCACGAATTGATTCCCTCCGGGTCCGTGCCTTCGTTGGCTTTATCCGCGGCCCGGATTGAGGCGGCCCTCCAATTTTATTTGACGATTCCCCCCGGCTGCGAGCATCGTTGTAGCGGCACCGATCGCGCAGCGGAGGTGATGACGTTGGAGCTGGCAGGCCCTGCCGTTGGTTTCTGGGCCGAGATTGGGAGCCGTGCTTTTTGTGTTTTTTGTGGGGGGGGGGGGGGGGGGGTGGTCGTGTCGCGTGTTTCCCGCCTGAGCGGTTTGCCGGTTCTCGGCGCCCGTCGATGGTGAGTCTTTGCGGGATTTCATTTTTTGTGTGTTTGTGCATTAGGGGCGGAAGAAAGCGTCCGCGAAAACCACTGCACCAAGTCGCGGCGCGGTGGCCGCCCATCTCCGCTACCCCCCACCCCCCCACCCTCACCCCCAACTGATGGGGGAACACCTCCCCACCCCACAACCCCACCCCCCTCGCGCCCTTTCCAGTGTTTTGGTTCGACGCCCTTCGCCGTCACAATTCACGTCGGTCCTCCCTTCACATTTTCGTCTTCCTCCACCTCCTCCTCCGTGTCCTCCTCCTCGTACACGGCCACCACCGCCGCACATTCACTTGTCCGTCCGTCGCTTACAACCGACCGCGACCGCGGCTCTCGTCGTCCACGCCCGCCATCGTCGCGGCCCGCCCAGAACGGCCGGCCGGCGGTCTCGGCGGCAAGAAAAACAAAAAAACGCCACCGGCGCAAACGACTCGGGCGTCGCCCAGGGGGCTCCGTCGCGGTCCCGGCGCCCGCTGGACACCGCCGGCGTCAGTGGCGCCGGCACGAGCGAGCGCCGGTGGTGGAAGTCGTTTGCCGCGTCGCCCTCGTCATCCTCCTCTTCCGTCCGGGCCGTGCCGGAGCCAGCGCCGTGCGTCATTGCCGAGCCGTGTCAGAGCTCGGAGTGGCGCTGCGGAGACTCGAGGCGCGCCGACAGCGCCGACAGGATGTGGTGGAACTTGTGCAGCCGCTCGTGGCGCTCGGCCCGGCAGCCGCGGCTGCCCCAGTAGAGGCGCAGGTGGAACTCGGTGCGGAACGTCTCCAGGGTCGCGGGGTCCACCGAGAATCCTGGCGGGCGACAGCACGGCGATCGGTGAGCGTCGGCGGGGGGCGGGGGGGGGGGGGGTAGCGCCGCAAAGGGGGGACGACACGGCACCGTGCGTAGCGAGCCGCGCTAATCGGAGTGTGCGCGGGTAAGGACAACTGTCTGGCGAGATGTTGACTACCTCGCCTGGTATACAGGAGGTCGTGGGTTCGATCCGGACCCTGACGCCTGCTGCTGCTGTATATTTGGAGTTTGCGTGTCTCTCACTCTCTCCCCATTGTTGGGGGTGTGGATTTTCCTCCGGTTTTTCCCTCCACATTTAGAATCAACGTCTCGCGTCAGGAGCATTTGGCTGCTGTACATTTCCACACGACGACGATGATGATGATGATGATGAGCCGCCACTTCGTTGAGCTATCATTTGCGATGGCGAGGGTCGCTCCTGAACAAGAGCGACACATCTCAGCGGGCCCTTACCTGGTAAAAAAGTAAATTAAAATAAATAATATTTATTTTGTGTTATTCAAAGCCTCCACCCCAAGTGTGCACGTGGATCACAGGGAGGGGTGGCAAGAGCCCTCACGGAGGCCGGCAGGGCCGCACGCGGTGCCAATCGTGGGACAGCGAGGTAACGATGACGACAATTAGAACCAGGCCTACCACTACCCCTACCACTATCACTACCACTACCCCTCCTTTGCCCTCGCCTAAAAGCTGCGAATCGCAAGCCGCCCGCCCCGCACCTCTCAGCCGGCGCTCGGCGTTGGCGGAGTAGAGGGCGGCGTCGCGTGCCATCTCCCGCCCGGCCTGCAGATGCGCCACCACCGCCTCCATCCCCGCGTCGCCCGGCTGCTCCCACGCTTCGCCGGCGGAGGCGCCGCCGCGCGCCCACTCCCGCTCCCAGTCGCCGCCCGAGCCGGTCCTCTCAGCCGGCAGCGGCGGCCACGCCGGGCCGGCGGCGGACGGCTCCGCCGGCGGCATCGGCTCCTCCAGGAGGGAGACGAGCGGCAGGAGGTGCGGGACGCTGGTGTCCCGGGCGTCGACGTGCACTGCGGTGGGCGACGAGAGAGGGGAGACGACGGAGAGAGGGGCAGCAGGAGACAGAGCGATGAAGAGCGACGGAGAGAGAGGGGGATGGATGTAGAGAGACGGAATGCGACGGAGAGAGAGGGAGAGAGACAGAGTGAGCCTTTACGTTGGGCGCGTGCGGAGATTGATGACGTTGACATTGAAAACTATCACCATCATCATGATGACATCATTGCTATTAATCCTCGGTGTTTATCCGCGGGGGATTCTTGAATGTGACCCAACAGTTCCAATCGGGGCATCGTAGGGGCAGCTGACAACCGCTTTGCAATCGCCGCGGCGTTGCACCCCGTGACGGATAAACGACGCCCTCCTCCCCATCGGCAGGACGCTGCACTTGGACGTTTTGGCCGAATTCCATCGATGGCCCAACTTGCCTACGAGGTGACCCCACGACCCCCTCCCTCCCTCCCTCAAGCCACCCGGCGAATCCCGTCCCGTCCGCCAAACCACGGCCTTGTCAGCTGCCGCTACGACCTACACCGGGTGAGGCCCACAGACCCCCGCCACCGCCCCCACCCCCGCGACCGAGCCCACGAGAGAGAAGAGAGACGGGGACAGGGCGGCTGACCTTTGCCCTGCTGCAGCGCCAGCAGGAAGGGCTTGAGCTCCTTCTCGAAGGCGACGGCGCTCTGCGTGTGGGCACGGCGCAGCACCTCCCACGTCCGCTCCAGACGGGACACCTGGGGGGGACGCACGCCACGGTCACGACGATCGCCAAAGACGACGGCGCCAGCCCCCACCCCCCCCCCTCACTAACACCCCACCCCACTCCACTCACCCCACTCACCAAACTCACCCCAACGTTACTCCGACGTTGCCCCAACGACGTTGCCCCAACGTAACCCCAATATTTTTTTAGATTTAAAGCTTTCGTGACTGCAGGGATTCATCTTCTTGGTTCTTTCGGTAAAGTCACCGAAAGAACCAAGAAGATGAACCCCAATATTGTTACATTGTTACCTGAACGTTACCCCATTGTTGCCCCAACAACATTACCCAAACAACGTTATCCAAACAACGTTACCCAAACAACGTAACCCCAACAATGTTGCCCCAACGACGTCGCCCCAACGTTACCCCAACATCGTTATCCCGTCACACAAACGTTACCCCGACGTCGCCCCAGCAACGCCTGCCCCCGCCCCCCCCACCTGCGGGAGCATGAGCGCGTGCATGACGGCGGAGAATCCGTAGAGATCCGCCAGCGGCCCGCGCAGCTCCAGCGCCAGCTGCACGTAGCGGTGCAGCAGCTCGGCACGCTCCTCCAGGCAGCCCGTGCAGCCCAGCACGTCCACCGCCAGGCCGATCGCCAGCGCGTGGAACCTGCGGGGGGGGGGGGGCGCGTGAGGGGGAGACGGGGGAGATGGGGAGATGGGGAGATGGCGGACACGTGGGAGACAGGGGAGACGAGGGAAACGGGGGAGATGGGGGAGATGGGGGAGATGGATATGGGGGAGGTGGGGGAGGTGGGGGAGACGGGGGAGACGCAGGCGGGAGACACGGGGGACACGGGGGAGACGGGGGAGATGGGGGACACGGGGGAGAAGGGGGAGACAGAGACGAGGGTAAAGATTTTCGCCCCCCCCCGCGTAGCCTTTAGCTGAAATGTCGGGGCAAGTGCGGAATGGAACGAACACGTGAGCTTTAGTTGAATGCGTAGGAGTGGGGCTTTCGCGACCAATATGTCGTCAAATAACGGAGGTTTTGTGTTGTTGTTGGGTTAGATCGCGTAAATATAAATGTGTCGTTAAACCCGCCACCGCGTGACGTAGCCAATCAGTGAGGTTTGTCACGTCAACAAAACGTGCCAGTGCGTCACTACTTCAGCACACCGGTTGAGTGTCGGAGAGTGAACCTACAACAACATTTACAGTTCGATTGCCGGTGATTATGACAGCGAGCATCATCAGGTGACAGCCAGGATCGCGAATATCTCCTCCCGTATTCTTAGGTGACTTTATCGATAAAACCGAAGAATATGAATCCTTGCAGTCACGAAAGCTTCAAATTTAGTATCTTCTCCCGTTTCCGTCTTAAACAGAGGTGGGGTCAAGGCGATGGCATCACTCTGAGCCACAGGCCAGGCGGCTGCACGACGCGGGAGCCGGGACTCGTTCGCACGCGGCGAAAAATCGCCGTCGCCCGGCGGATCCCGCGCGGCCAAACCGGGGCGGCTACGGAGTGGACGGGGGCGGCGGAGGACACTCACCGCTCGATGACGTCTTCTCTGAGCCGCCGTCCGTGCGGCAGGGTGAGCAGCTCCAGGCCGGAGCGGACGCCCATCTTCAGGACGAGCTCCTCCGTCACCCCGGTGATGCGAGCCACCTGCGGGGAGCGCGGGCGGGGAGGGGGGGGGTCATCACTCGATCCGCCACGGTCACGTGAGCCGCCGATTCATCACGGCTTCAGCCGCGCCACCGTAAGCTCGCCTCCCCTCCCCGTGCGAAGAACGCACGACCGCCGGTTCCGCCGGCGACGACCGGGCCGACGGAGAGTTGCGCGCGGAGGTCCGGCGAACCGGCGGCCTCCCCGCGGTGCTGCGCGACCTCTCACCTCGCAGTCGAGCAGCATGATGCAGCGCGCGGCCGTGCGCACGTCGCACTCGCCCTGCAGCTCCTTGGCGCGCCGCAGCACCCCCGTCTCCAGCGGCTTGTTCTCCGGCGGCAGCAGCAGCGACGCGAACTCCAGCGGCCGGAACGTCGACTCCGTCTCCACGGTGGGGCGGCGGAATTCCGCCGCGGCCGCCGCTTCTCTGGCGCCGTCGCCGGCGTCTCCGCCGCCCGCGGCCGAGGCCTCGCGCGCCGGGCCCGGCGGCGGCGGCGGCAGCAGCAGGCTCCGCTTGGCGGCGGCGGCGGCGGCCGCGGCCGCGTTGACGTCGCTCTCCAGCCGCAGGGCGGCCGCGTCCCGCTCGAGGGCCTCCATGGCCTTGTGGGGCGAGATGAGCGAGTGGTACGGCTCCGAGTCGCCCGCCAGCCGCTCCTCCGCGTGTTTGCCGGAAGCGGGGACCGCCCCCGACGTCCCGTTGGCGGGCGGGGGCGACGTCGTCCAGGAGAGGTCGGCGTGGGCCGACGGCTGCGCGGACCGGAGGCCCTTGGGCGACCAGGTGGGGGTCCTGCGGAGGCCGTCTCGCCAGATGTCCGCCCCTGCAACGCCGGACGTGCGACAGGATCCACGTTGGTCGATCTCCGTGGACGCCGCGCGTGATGTGGTTCGAAGCCGGGGAGTGGAATTCTCGATTGCTGCCGTGAGTGACGGCCGTGCCGAGAGGTGCGCTGGACGTGGTGTGCCGGGTGTGTGTACGTGTGTGTGCGTGTGTGTGTGTACGTGTGTGTACGTGTGTGTGTGTGTGCGTGTGTGTGTGTACGTGTGTGTGTGCGTGTGTGCGTGTGTTGAACTTGTTTCGACCGGTGCGTGGCCGACCGCGCTAATCGCGGCAGCGATCGTTCGTCGACAGCATTGGGGCTGTAATGGAACTGGCACGTGTTCTGTGTCGTGTGTTTAAAAGTCGACTCAGCCTCAAATGAGTACCTGGTGCGGTGTGTAAACATCGTCACTGGGGAGACAAAGGCGGTCGGGCGTGGTGTTGACCCACCCCCTTGTGTGTCGTGCCGGCCTTCATAGGTGCTCGCTAATAGCACTTGCGGTCCGTTAAGGCTATACGGGGGATCTTTGTGTGCGTGTGTGTGTGTGCGCGTGTGTGTGTGCGCGTGTGTGCGTGTGTGTGCGCGTGCGTGTGTGTGTGTGCACGTGTGTGTGTGTGTGTGTGCGTGCGCGTGTGTGTGTGTGCGCGTGTGCGTGTGTGTGTGGTGTAGCGGTTGGTTAGTGTCCACCAGGTGCCTCCCTGTCACTCGGGCTGCCGGGGGAACGCGTTACCAAGCACAATGGGGCAGCTCTGTAGCATGACGCGCGCCTCTGTGTGTTTGTGTGTGTACGTTTGTCTGTGTACGTGGGGAGCGGTGGTGCAACGGTTAGCGCGCTACGCCACGGACCCGGCGACCTGAGTTCGATTCCCATTTACGGCCGACACCAGTGACGATTATCTGAACCGGTCCTGGGCCTCCCCTAGGTAGACTCAGCCTCAAATGAGTATCTGGTGCGGTGTGTAAACATCGCCACTGGGGAGACAAAAGCGGTCGGGCGTAGTGCTGGCCAACCACCCCCTCGTGTGCCGTACCGGCCTTTATAGGTGCTCGCTAACAGCACTTGCCCCAGCGGTCCGTGAAAAGCTACGCGGGGGACCTTTGTCTTTGCGTGCTCGACGCGAGCGTCGCGTTCACCCACCGGTGCCGTATCCCGGCAGCGTGTTGCCCTGGGCGTGCGCTTCAGATGCCCTTCCGTCCTGCGTCCAATCAAACACCATGCCGTTCCTGCAGCCACAACAACAACAACAACAGCACGCAGCTTGGGTCTCACGTCGCAGTGTCCACACGGAACGGCACATCGCAGGGCCGTCAATCCTTGAAACGGACAAACTTTCCGATGATCAAGAAGAATTTCCACGAAATAAATTGTTTTTTTTAAACGTCGCCGGCGCAATTGCGTGCCGCTGAGCCGTGTCATCGGGCTAATGAACAAGGCGGAGGAGCAGCCCTGCAATTTCTCGCTCACCGCTGCGAGCGGACAGGGCTTTGCAGCAAGCGGCTCTGTCGAAGGTGTCCGACTCTTCCACCCGCGGGCCAGATGCCACTGGAAGTGGTGGCGGTGACACACACACTCTACCCCACCGCGCTCTACACCACTACACTCTACCCCACCACACTCTACCCCACCACACTTTACCCCACCACACATTACCCCACCACACTTTACCCCACCACACATTACCCCACCACACTCTACCCCACCGCGCTCTACCCCACCACACATTACCCCACCACACTCTACCCCACCACACATTACCCCACCACACTCTACCCCACCACACATTACCCCACCACACTCTACCCCACCACACTCTACCCCACCACACATTACCCCACCACACTTTACCCCACCACACTCTACCCCACCACACATTACCCCACCACACTCTACCCCACCACACTCTACCCCACCACACATTACCCCACCACACATTACCCCACCACACTCTACCCCACCACACTCTACCCCACCACACTCTACCCCACCACACATTACCCCACCACACATTACCCCACCACACTCTACCCCACCACACTCTACCCCACCACACATTACCCCACCACACTCTACCCCACCACACTCTACCCCACCACACATTACCCCACCACACTCTACCCCACCACACTCTACCCCACCACACATTACCCCACCACACTTTACCCCACCACACATTACCCCACCACACTCTACCCCACCACACTCTACCCCACCACACTCTACCCCACCACACTTTACCCCACCACACATTACCCCACCACACTTTACCCCACCACACATTACCCCACCACACTCTACCCCACCACACTCTACCCCACCACACATTACCCCACCACACTTTACCCCACCGCACCAGACCCAATTCTATCGCCGGGCGGACGGAGGCGGGAGATGGAATCCACCCGGCGACCTCTGGTTCGCCCCGGCGACCTCCCCGGCGACCTCCGGTTCGCCGGGTGGACAACGACATCGGTCACGATGGATGCTCTCACCGGTGACAGATTCGGCCTCCGGTCGCGCCGCCGCGAGCGCCACCACTGACCTGTAGGACGTGTCCGTCAGCTGATGACGCTTCGACGACCCCTGATGACCCCTGACGTCGCAGCCGCCGCCGCCGCCGCCGCCGCCGCCGCCGTCGCCGCAGCAGCCGCCACCGGCTCCGTGGTTCCCGGCGCAACCCGCGTGCCGCTCCGGCCTCTCTTGCCGGTAGAAGCTATCGAAGCCGCAGCTGTTGTTGTTGTCGTTGCTGCCGCCGTGAGCCGCCAGCTCCGCCAGGCGCGCCGCGTCGCGGTGAACGGCGGCGAGGTACGCCAGCGGCACGGCGCGGTTCACCGGCCGCGCGATGCACACGGGCCCGAACCCGCCGGGCCCCGGCTGGCCCGGCGACACGGGCTGCCGGTTGCCGACGTAGAAGCGCACGAGCGACGGGACGCTGCCGAAGCCGTCGCCGCCGGGCTGGATGGCGTAGGAGTCGCCGAGCGAACGCCGGTGGTGGCCGTCGCCGGAGGAGCGCTGCTGGGCCGCCGCCGCCGCGGTGGAGGTGGTGGGCGTGCGGCGCTCGACGCGGAAGTGGAGCGGCCGCTCGGCCCAGCGGCACGACAGCACCAGGCCGCCGGCGCCCGACAGCGAGTCGCGCAGCAGGAAGTCGCCGTCGCGCTCCAGCTGGGACTCGGCCACCTGCGGCGGTCACGGTGGGGTGGGGGCGATGACGACAATGACGACGGGGTTCACGCGGGGTCACTGCGTCTCTTTCTCTCTCATCATCATCACGGTGGCTAAGAGACGTTAACTACCTCGCCTGGTGTACAGGAGGTCGTGGGTTCGATCCCGACCCTGACGCCTGCTGCTGTATATTTGGAGTTTGCGTGTCTCTCTCTCATCATCATCACGGTGGCTAGGAGATCTTAACTACCTCGCCTGGTGTGCAGGAGGTCGTGGATTCGATCCCGACACTGATGCCTGCTGTATATTTGGAGTTTGCGTGTCTCTCTCTCTCTCTTATCATCATCACGGTGGCTAGGAGATGTTAACTACCTCGCCTGGTGTACAGGAGGTCATGGGTTCGATCCCGACCCTGACGCCTCTTGCTGTGTATTTGGAGTTTGCGTGTCTCTCTCTCATCATCATCACGGTGGCTAGGAGATGTGGACTACCTCGCCTGGTATACAGGAGGTCGTGGGTTCGATCCTGACCCTGATGCCTGCAGTTGTGTATTTGGAGTTTGCGTCTCTCTCTCTACTCGTGGATTTTTCTCCGAGTCCTCCGGTTTTCCCCTCCACATTTAGAAACACGCGTTTAATAGTATTTGGCTGCTATACATTTCCACGCGAAGATAAGCCACTGAGTTGAGACATCATTTGTGGCCAGGTCGCTTCTGACAAAGAGCTAAAGAGCTCAGTTGGCCTTATCTGGTAAAGCAAAAAATAGTTTAGATTTAGAGAGGGATAGGGTTAAGTGTCTGGGGTGCGATGGGGTTAGTGTTCGGGGTTGTGTTTTTGTTAGTCATAGGCTTAACGTGGCCTCAAGGTGCACATGGCCTGGCACAGGCGTCGTGGTGACGTCACCTCCACTTAGTGGCGAATGGCGGTTGTTGTTGTTAGGGGTAGAGCTAGAGGAGGGTTAATGTTAGGGATAGAGCTGCTGTAGTGAAAGGCTTAGCGTTGGTGATAATGTTAGCGTTAGAGATAGGCTTAGAGATAGGCTTAGCGTAAAAACTAGGCTTAGCGTTGGTGATAATGTTAACGTGAGAGATAAGCTTAGCGTTGGTGGTAATGATAGTGTTAGAGATAGGCTTAGAGATAGGCTTAGTGTTCGTGGTAATGTTATCGTGAGAGATAAGCTTAGCGTTGGTGGTAATGTTAGCGTGAGAGATTGGCTTAGCGTAAAAACTAGGCTTAGCGTTGGCGGCAATGTTAGCGTGAGAGATAGCTGTCGCGTTTCAGTCGCTGTGCGGCTGAATCGCAGCAAGCAGCCGTAGCGGAGGAGCGACCGGCGGTGCATCCGCGCGACAGCGCCGAGGTGCCCCTATCCCGGCGCAATCGCCGTGCCGACGTCGCCGACTGCCGCGTGTGCCGGGTGCGGCGCTCGCCTGCCGGGGGATGGCGCCGTGGTACCATGCGTGGCTGCGCACGTCCTCACTGTCCAGCTTCAGCTCGCTCTCCAGCTCGCGCTTCAGGCGGTCGGCGCTCCAATCGGTGGCGGTGCCCGGCGCGTGGGGGACCTGCGGCACGCGGCATGGACAGGGTCAGTGGCGGGAGAGGGGGGTCGCGCGCGTTCACCCGCTCGTCTGCTTACCCAGTCATGGACTCACCCACTGGCCTATTTACCCACTCGCCCACGCACTAATCTATCTACCCACTTGCTCACCCACCCACTGGTCTAATTACCCATTCACAGACTCACCCACGGGCCTATTTACCCATTCACAGACTCACCCACTGGTCCATTTACTCATTCACAGACTCACCCACTGGCCTACTTACCCATTCACAAACTCACCCACTGGTCCATTTACCCATTCACAGACTCACCCACTGGTCCATTTACCCACCTAGTCACCCACCCACTGGCCCATTTACCCATTCACAGACTCACCCACTGGCCTATTTACCCAATCGCCCACTCACCCCGGCCTATTTACCACTCCGCCACTCCCTCGCCCATTCACACACCAAGCATGCCGGTTAAAGGGGGCTTTTTAAACCCTTTCACACTGCAACGCGACTTTCAATGCAAAGAAATGTTCCGCCAAAAGGCGTACAAACGAGCTGCAACTTGAAGAGACCCCGGCATCAGCTGCCGTGATATCCGTTTGCGCAGACCGCTCTTTACAACGCACGGGCTGACGCGCCATCGCGCTAACGTCGAGTTTCACTCTGCCACGCCGCTCCAACCGTGATCCCTCCACCCCCCAGCAACAACAACAGCAGCAGCAGGCGCCATTCGCCACGGCGCTTGTGCCGGGCGGCGCGAAGCATCGAAGGCTCGCTGCTGACAGGAGGTCACGGGACAGACCCTCCAGGTACCGTGGGTTGCCCGACTACCGGACATCTGCGAAACGACTGGAGGCCTGGTGAACAAGAGCTTTGCAGCTCATCGGATTCCTCCTGTGGGAATATTCCGATTCTGACCGAGACGACTGGCAGATGCACCAGCTGTGCCCACCGCCCCAGGCACGAGACTTCCATGCCCAGGTATGCCCCGGTTGTACGGCAACTCGATATACGAGACTTGAGCATTCCGGCCAAATTTTTTTTCCGGCGAACGCGTCTGTCGCCCCCGTGTATCGGAGTGGATCGGATTGCCCCCCGCCCCCCCCCCCCCCTCGATGCAGAGCAGCCACTGCCGCTTTTGTCACCTAACACGGGGTGGAACGGAGCGATTCCAGACCTTGCCCGTCAGGTGTCGGCCCCGCTCACCGCGGCTCGCACGGTGGGTGGGAGTTACTCGACGACGCAGCGCGCGCTCGAAAAGAAACCTCCACCGCAGCGAAGTTGTGGGGAGTGGGGAGGGAGGAGGGGCGGTTTCGAAATTCAGACGAAGCACCACTTTGGCTGCGAGCACCACGTTCCACCATTCGACCTTCGATCTTTTCTCTGCCCCACTCGCTGGAGACATCCGCCTCCAACCTCCCACTTCTCCCCCCTCTACCTCCCCTCTACCTCCCCTGCATCGGACACCAAAGACAAAGATCCCCCGTACAGCCGGAACAGACTGTCGGGGCAAGTGCTGTGAGCGAGTAGCACCGACGAAGGCCGGAACGGCACACGAGGCGGTGGGTGGCCACAGCACCGCACCCGACCGCCTTTGTCTCCCCGGTGGCGATGTTTTACGCACCGCACCAGGTACGCGTTTGAGGCTGAGTCGACCTAGGGGAGGCCCAGGACCGGTTCAAATAACCATCACGGGGTGTTGGTGGCCGTGAGCGGGGAATCGAACTGGGGTCGCCGGGTTCGGAGCGCAGCGCCCTAACCGCTATGCCACCGCTCCCCACGACATGAGGACACCACAAACTGGAACATTGACATCTGTTCAACAACAGGCAGAGGAGGCCGGATTTCGCATATGAACTGTGCCCTTGTATCGTGTCTGTCGTGCGCCTTCTGAACTTCTGCTTTCAACCCACGGCTGACCCCCCCCCCCCGCACCACAGAGAGTGGGTGGGGGGGGGGGGGCGTCAAAATTGTTAAATTCTCTTCCGAGGTCATTCACAAAAGGAGGGTTTCACACAGTGGCCCCTGTGTGTGTCCCCGGCCCTCACAAGGGGCCCTGTGTGTGTTGGCCCCGGTCCTCCAGGAGCATCTCCGGAATGCCCGGCCGCTCCATCTCCCTCTCCACCTTCCCCTGTGCGTGTTTGTGTGTGCGGAGCGGTGGTGTGGCAGGTTAGCGCGCGAAAACCCGGCCTCCGCGAGGTCGACTCAGCCTCAAACGAGTACCTGGTGCGGTGTGTAAACATCGCCACTGGGGAGACAAAGGCGGCCGGGCGTGGTGCTGGCCACCCACCCCCTCGTGTGCCGTGCCGGCCTTCATAGGTGCTGCTACTCGCTAACAGCACTTGCCCCAACAGGATGTTAAGGCTACACGGGGGATCTTAATTTGTTTTTTATGCCGAACTTCTTTCGCGCACAGTACGTAGCCAACCGTGCGAATCTCGGGGAGGACAACTTGTGAGATGTTAACTACCTCGCCTGGTACGCAGGGGGTCGTGTGTTCGATCCCGTCCCTGACGCCTGCTGTACATTTGGAGTTTGCGTGTCTCTGTCATCATCATCACGGTGGCTAGGAGATGTTAACTACCTCGCCTGGTTCGCAGGAGGTCGTGTGTTCGATCCCGTCCCTGACGCCTGCTGTACATTTGGAGTTTGCGTGTCTCTGTCATCATCATCACGGTGGCTAGGAGATATAAACTTCCTCGCCTGGTATACAGGAGGTCGTGGGTTCGATCCTGACCATGACGCCTGCTGCTGTATATTTGGTGTCTGCGTGTCTCTGTTATCATCACGGTGGCTAGGAGATGTTAACTACCTCGCCTGGTGTACAGTAAATCGTGGGTTCGATCTCGACCATGACGCCTGCTGCTGTATATTTGGTGTCTGCGCGTCTCTCTCTCTCCCTGTGGTCGCGTGGATTTGCCTCCGGATCCTCCGGTTTCCTCTCCGCATTTGGAATCAACGTGGGTTTAGAGTATTTGACTGCGATACATCTCCACACGATGATGAGCCCACTTCGTTGAGCTGTCAAAGAGCATTGCCTGCTAATTAAAAAATAAAAGTGTAAATGTTATTAGGAAAGACTTTATTGACTCCGATGAGCTGGACCAGCCGCAGTTGCGGGTCCGAGTTCAATTCCTAGTAAAGTTGCCTGCCCCGCAAAGACAAAGACCCCCCGTATAGCTTCAACAGACTGTCAGGGCAAGTGCTGTTAGCGAGCACCTATGAAAGCCGGCACGGCACACGAAGGAGCGGGGGGGGGGGCCGGGCAGCACCACGCCGGGCCGCCTTTGTCTGCCAGGCACTCATTCGAGGCCGAGTCGACCTAGGGGAGGCCCAGAAACGGTTCCGATAATCATCACCGGTGGTGACTTTGAGCGGGAATTGAACTCGGGTCACCGGGGTTCGCGTAGCGCAGCGTAGCGCTAACCGCTGCGCCACCGCTCTTCCCAACTCCCCACTTCCTCCCCCTCCCCGCCCCCACCGCCCACCCCCCTCCCCCCTCCCGCCTCCACCCCTTCCCCGTTCACAAAAAGAACAATGGCCTTTGTTTATCCAGGAAAGCCGTGCTGAGCAGTCTTCCAAAAGTCGTCTCTTTATGGTCCCGATGTTTGCATTGTTGGAACACGTGGGGGTGTGGGTTGGGGGGGGGTCATAGCTTATATTGAGTGCTGTCTGGCCAATAACATCATCTGGTTCATCCGGCAGAGTTCGTCTCACGAGCCTGACTGCTGCGAAGAGCATTTGCTCGAATGGGAGGGGGGAGGGGGGGCTTCATCCAGCAGTGGACCTGGGCAAGAAACAGGTCGCTGAAAATAAAATGGAACCGTCGCCTCCGACCACCCTTAGGAGCACGGAGCTGAATAACTTGCCGCTGAATCGTTCATCAGGTCGCTGCTGCTGCTGCTGCGTAGAGGGCGGTCTGGGTGGCTTGCAACTCGTAGTCGCAACAGCCCTCCACCCACCCCCACCACCCCGGTCGTGAGTTTTGCGAGTTTGAAGTTGCAAGCTCTCACGGCGTCTCAAGGTCTCACGGCGTCTCAAGGTCTCACGGCGTCTCAAGGTCTCACGGCGTCTCAAGCTCTCACGGCGTCTCAATCTCTCACGGCGTCTCAAGGTCTCACGTTGTCTCAAGGTCTCGTGTCGTCTCAAGGTCTCACGGCGTCTCAAGCTCTCACGGCGTCTCAAGGTCTCACGGCGTCTCAATCTCTCACGGCGTCTCAATCTCTCACGGCGTCTCAAGGTCTCACGGCGTCTCAAGGTCTCACGTTGTCTCAAGGTCTCGTGTCGTCTCAAGGTCTCACGGCGTCTCAAGGTCTCACGGCGTCTCAATCTCTCATGGCGTCTCAAGGTCTCACGTTGTCTCAAGGTCTCGTGTCGTCTCAAGGTCTCACGGCGTCTCAAGGTCTCATGGCGTCTCAAGGTCTCACGGCGTCTCAAGGTCTCACGGCGTCTCAAGCAGCTGAGAGACTCTTGAGAGGCCAGGGTGGACAAGCCGAGGTGGTGGAGGTTGGGGAAGGAAGGGGGTGGTGGTGGGGCACGCGTTGGGGGTGATGACTGAAATAATCCCAATCGAGTCATTTTGCGGGGGGGTCAATTTACAAAAAAATTGGGGGGGTGCGATTGGCCGAACTAACGCGACAAAAATGTTTTGGGGGGGCGGTTCAAATTCGCTTAAACGAAAAAAAACCTCTCTCAATATTTCAAGAGCACCCCCCCCCCATCACATGCCCTGCACTCCTTAATAAATAACGGGACACGACGCAGCTCCTCCAACAACAACCACAACAACAGATCGGCATGCCGACCTCCAGCGCACCTGGGAGTACAACTTGCAAGCCGGCTGGAGTTTGCTGTGTGTGGGTTTGAAAAAAATGCTCCCAGCAAACGTAACGCGGTTGTTTTGATCACGAGGTTTCTTTTTTTTGCTGACTACGGTGGGACAGACACGTGGGGGGTGGGGAGGGGTGGTGGTCACGACCGTCGTGAAACGCCGAAATCGACTTTGCAC